CGGCCACTCTGGGGCCCAGCAATCCTGCCTGCCAGGTGTCCCAAGCGGGCAGGGCAGGCCGCTCCCAGCCCCTTACCTTCCAGAACATGAAGCTGCCAGGATCCACCACCGTGGGCTGGATGATCTCTCGCCCAGGGAAGATGCCCCAAGTGACAGCGTTGGGCTGCAGCTCGGGGGCATTGGTGATGTTTTCACCCTGGGGTGGGAGGGGAGGTAGGAGCAGACGGGACAAAGCCAACCAGAGCCCCCTGGTTGCCCAAGGCAGCCCCTGCTCCACACTCTCCCCATGCCCCTCCCCCCAGCTCTGTGAGCCTGAGACCTGGAGGCCACACTGAGCACTTCCTCCTGTCTCGCTTCAATCAGCTCTACACCCAGCGGTTCTGCCTGCTTCCTCTCCACTGTGCTCCCTGGGGTCTAGCCCAGCTGGGCCTCTGCTACTCAGACAAGGGCCTCTGACTCTAGTGTTCCCGGGCCCATTCGTCATCAGCTGTCCGCTGTGACCTGCCTAACACCCGGAGCCAAGTCGCTCACTGCCTGGAAAGGCTCCCTCCTGCCTCCAGGGACCATGGAGGCCCCTGAGCCCCTGCTCAACACTTTAGCCTCACGCTCCGCAGTCGGCGGTGACACACTAGCTGTAGACGCTGCCTCTGCACACCCTGCCCTTCCCCAGGAATTCCCTTCCCTCCCTGTCCTGAAGGATTCAGGTCACAGAGGACCCTCCACGAAGCCTCTGTGACCTCCCAGGTTAAGTGTCCCTCCCCTGGGTCCCCAGCATCCTTACTGAACTGAACTGTCCCATTATCCACGGACGGGCCTCGCTCCCTAGGCTGGGAGCTCCGTCTGCCCGGGGCCAGTGCCTGCTGAGTGCGGGAGTGACCGTGGGTGCCCTCGGCTGGCAGCTGCCCCGCTGAGCACCGGTGCGTGGAGCTGGCCTACCTTCACGTCCACGATGTGGTAGTTCACCCGCTGCTCGTACTTCTTCAGCACCTGCAGGAGTGCCCCCACCGTCTCTCGGGAAGTGAAGAACTCCAAGTAGGCCTGGGGAGCAGGTGCCCGTCACCCCCGGTCCCTGCTGGCCGCCCTCTCGGCGCTCAGCAAGCCCCATCGGATGCCCCCAGGGAGGACCCACGCGCACAGGCGTGTGGGACACTGAAGACAGGGGCACTAGTGGTGGCCACACGGGTGGATCATGGAGCAGGTGGTGAGACTTCCCAGCTGGCCAGCCTGCGGGACCTCTGCCAGCCCGCCTCCCGTTAGGCAGGGCGGCCCCCGGAGAAGCCACCGTAAAGCTGGCGAGGAGGCCGCTGTGGAGCGCAGGCTGGTGGGACAGGCCTGCCCCCTCCCACCTGCCCCCTCACTGGAGGTGACAGTGACTCTAGTGGCTGCTCTGGCACCCACTGGATCAGAGATTGAGCTGGGTGTATGCCGTCACTTGCCATAATGCCCGTAATACTGCAGGGTGGGCCCTCTCAGCCCCATTTCCCAGATGAGGCAAGTTCAGGGAAGGTGAGGACCTGGGCCCACTGGTGATAAACAGCTGGTCTCCTCACACCGGGGTCGTTCTAATCAGGGCTCAGGGGTTCAGTGTGAGTGTAACACTCACTCCAGCCGCCCAGGGGACAGGTGGCAGCTTGGAAGAGAAGCGAGTGCTTCCTGTCCCTCCCATGTGCTAAGCTGTACGTGCCTCCCCACAACAGCGGGTGATCTGTCCCACCTGAGAAGGCGGAGGCTCAGAGCAGTCAGGGGACCCCACCCAGGCCTGACCTAAGGCGGGAGCTCCCGTCCACCCCGGTCCGCTGCTGCTCAGTGAAGGGCCCAGAGAGGAGGCTTCCTGTCCCCATCGCTGGGGCTCCTGGGGGCCAGTCAAGCTGGGGCGGCCCTGGGCCCCTGCACACCTTCTGGAAGACATAGCCCCCGCTGGGGCCCCAGCCCACGACCGGGTCAGAGGACGGCTTCCCATTGATGTTGGGCTGGGAGTTGATGGTGAGGATGCCCTGCCGGTTCACGCGCAGCAGCTCCTCCTTCATCAGGCTGGTCTCGGCCGCCAGGGGCTCGTCATTCCAGGGCAGGCAAGTGACCTGGAGGGGGGAGCCGGGCCGGGCTGAACATCGGATCTGGTACTCTGGGCCCCTCCCTCTCGGGGGCCCCGAGAGACACCCAGCCTGTCTCTGCCTCTGTAAGCCCCTCACAGGCCCCCCAGCTGGTGAGTTCCCAACTCACCCTTCTCCCTGGGCTGAGGTGCCATGTCCAGAGCAGAAAGAGGAGGCTGAGGGTGGGCAGGCCACAGGGAGACGGGGCGGGGGTGTAACCAGGGGCCCCACCGAGCACCACTCACTCGACAGCCGCTCTGGTTTGGCTCCCCGGAGAGGTAATGGACAAAGACTTCAAAGACACTTTCTTCACTGGTCAGCTCCTCCCCCCACATCTTCAGCAGCTCCTCCCTCGGGGCCTTGTTCGTCAGGTAGAAGAGGTAGTAGTCCTTCAGCTCCCCGAAGGCTGGCGAGGAGGAATGGCCCCTGCAGAGGACGTGCCCCGCGGTCAGGGCACAGCCTCACCTCGGGCTCCTCACAGGAGGACCGCTGTCCCACACACCAGAGGTCATTCTGTGACTCCAGTCCCCCCAGGGCAGAGAAACATGCCAACTCCTGCCTCCTGCCTCCCAAGACACAGGACCCATTTGCAAAGGACAGCCTGCGGCCTCACCAGCGGCCATTGGGGAACTCGTCCCAGTCCTGGGTGCGGTAGATGTAACTCTTCGGTCTGGAGGCCCAGAAGATGGGACGCACATCTTCCTCCCGGCGCTTGGGGTGGGCACTGACAGCCCAGGGCAGGGGACGCCTGGGTGAGATCGGGGACAGGAAGGGACTGGCTCAGGTCCTCAGGGAGAGGACCCACTGAGCTGGGTCTTTCAATCTCACTTGGAAACATCAAGGTGCACACGGATCTCCCACGGAGGCTGGAACCCCGTGTGCCTCCAGCCACAGCACAGATAAGCCCTGCACCCGTGGCGTCCAGCCCTCCTAGGGCGCACTCTTGCTGTGACTTCCATGTGACTTATCTGCCCCCTGACTTCCCTCTGTGGCTCCCAGGCCTGAATTCGGGGCCCCTGGCCTCACCTGGGGTCCTCGGCCCACATGCCCAGGCGCTTCAGCACCTCGGTGGTGGCCATCCTGCGGTTGAGGGTGTAGAAGTGCAGGCCCGGCACCAGGCCACTGGCCAGCAGCTCCTGGCACAGGCTCACGGCATGGTCGATGCCATAGTTGCAGATGGCAGCGTCGTTGTCCTTGATGGGCTCGATCACGTCCCTGATCTTCTGCGGCACCTCCAGCTTGGACAGCTTCACGAGCTGCCGCAGGGAGTGGTAGCCCTGCCGGGACACGGGGGCTGTGTCTCTCACCCCGCTTCTCCCCTTCTGTTCCCTACCAGGCCTCCGGGCCGACTGCAGTGTGACACAGACCCAGGAAAGTCAGACCACACTGTACAAGGACCCTTGCCTGGTCCTGCTTTTCCCAGTCTGCAGGGGACTCGGCTGCCCAGAGCATCCCTGCCGTCGGTCTGAGCCAGCCCTTTAGGCCCAGCGGTTCCCAAGCCTCCCGGGTCATCGGAATCACCCGCAAGACTTAAGAAGTAAGGTACACATTCCCAGGCCCCACCT